GTAACTCTTGAGAGCGGCTCCGTTGGCTAGATCAATGGTGACAAGTAATTGTAGTGGTTTTAAGCGAACGCAATATATGACATCATTCCGGGGCTTTGTTGTGACTTGCAATGGTTGCATAGTCCTGCAGTTGTGCGTTACATATGAGAGTTGATGCATCGAATCTGAAAAATTGATCATTTATCATCATTCATCATTGCGAGAGACATTTTTGATTGGGACGAAATGACGATGAGGATGGTGGTGGGACCAAGCTCGTATGTATCACATGGCCAATTTCATCCTGGAAATTTTAGTGATTGCTCAACTTTTTCATGTTTCTTCCATGATCACGTATTTGGTTTCAAATAAGTCAACCATCAATTATTGTACCCAATGGGAAAGGTACTTGAGACCCTTAAATGCACCGGAAATGCTGAAAATTGTTGTCGTATATCAAGACCTTAAGAATGTGTGTAACCTGAAGAGGAGTTGTTGTTGGTTATTCTGATATTTTCCATTCCAAGTCTGTATAGTTTGAATGCTGCTGAATACATCATTTTAAATCTTTCAACAACCATCAAATACTTGATTTCTAAGATTTCTAAAAGTGCTTTAGTCCAAATTCAGGCAGGAGGTCTGTCTTGCAATTTCACATTTCATGGAAATGTTTCCAACTATATGAGAAATTCTATTTGGAACCTCGTATGGATAAGCACAAACACTACAACAAATTTTGCAACACTTTTTCCATCCCTTTCAAAATCATAAAAAAGATTTGAAAAGGCTGAAACCCCAATTTTCAATAACCTGCTGAATAAACTGGTCAACAGAAGCGCTTTTATTAGATAATCAGCCCTGCATTAAAACATCTCCAAGGAATTGAAAGCAGGCGGGATTGTTTCCCTCAGTAAAGAATTGCAGCACTTCAACACTCGGAATTGTAAATGATTTGACTTGCAGCATAAATAAATTGAGACCGTAACCTCCTCAGCCGGTCGTGCAGACTATGGCAGAGGAGGACTGAATTGTAAACCATAAATTGATTTCCGAGCCGAGGTCACTGTGTCATTGTCAACTGCTGTTGTCGTGGGAAGAGAAGGAGTCATGGAAGGGAGGAAACCCCTCTCTCAGTACACATCCCAGCTCAGCCAGCCTTTAATTTATCTCGCATCTCACGCAATAAATTTCGCCATTAGATGTCAAACGAGAGACTCAAGGTGTGAAAGAGGGCGAGGAAGTGACAAACTCAGGTAAATTGCTCGGGAGGTGGTCAAACCTCTCCAAACCAATTCAGAGGTCTGGTGGAGACATTTTCATTGTTAATTGTCTCCCTGAACCCAAACCGAAAACCGTCTCGAGAGAGACCCAAGCCAACCATGACACGTAAACTAAACAAGTCGTAACTTGCAACACACATCCTCCTGCCAACGACATACAGCAACATTTGTTGCATGAGCAGAGAGGGAGATTGACTCGCCAACTTTTTATTTTCAATTTACTGCCACAAGATTTATAAATGAAATCAAACTCACGAAACATTTCCTACTTGAGAGAGTTGGTAGTTTGCTATTTATTCGCATTTGCTATTTACATTGCGAAAAGTTTGCATACCCAGCCAGCAAAAGCACGTCGTTAGATGTTATCATTATCCAGAAAGATATATGAATATATACACGTGCTGTAGATCTATGTATGCCGGTACCTAACTAGAAGGCTGAACAAGTGGACAGTATACATTGAAGTGGAAAGTGAGACGGAGAGAGAGATGAAGCACACTTAATTTAACTTTGTTTCAACTAGTACATAGATACTACCCAACAGTGGAGGAGAGTAAAGTAAATCAAAGTCTGGATGGATGTGGTGCCTTAATTATTAATGAATCTTCCTTGTCTCACTAAAAGTGCACTTCACCCACCTTCCTTAAATTGTATTTATGTTTTAGGAGGCGGAATGGTCGTCATCATTACGACCTAATTCTCTCAGGTACCTCTGAATTATATTAACCGACCTCTCCCATGTATACGTAGCACATTCCCTTCCGTTGTTGTGCCCTGCTCTGCTGACCGAGAAATAACTTGAATTATTGTACGATACGATTTATACCATCTTTGTCCGATCTCTACGTCTTTTGAAAAGACTGTTTCCAAAATGGTAGCGCATTAAATAGAATATTTTTGCTCACCATGATACTCAACAGTCTGCTTTCCACAGGAGCATATTTTGCGTCCCTTTAGTGTCATGTCCAATGTTTTACTCTCTTCTGTGTCGGAAGCTATATATTCTTTGACGTCCTTCATTGTGTGTGTGTGCTCAGAATAAATAAATATTCATGCACACCACTATTTTTCATAGTACCAACTGTCCCCTTCTTCCATGGTGCAGGAGCGTTGCACGGTTTTAGGTTGAGTGTTTTTGGAAATGTGCATCTGCGACGGGACGCCTTTTTCCTTGGTCTCTCTCTCTCTCCTTATTGTTGTCTTGTTGCCTCTTCCACGCGCCCCGAAAACCTTTCAAAACACTTGGTCGACCTTATTTCCATCTCATTCAGATATGTATCCCTTTCTGAAAGGAGTTGTAGAATAACCAAACATTTACTTTGGACATTGGATTTCCTCTAATCTGAAATCTGAATGGACTTTTGAGTCTCCAAACGCAAGCCCGACCAACCAGCAGCATCTCAGAGTCTCACAGACCGACTGGAATTTGACACTTCATCAATTCATTCACTTTCCATTGCTCAAATGAAATCTATGCTATGCAAACTGATTTTAGAATAACATGCGACACAAACTGCTGCCGTATTTTCGTGACACCTGCCCTTCCTCTCTCTCGTCGCCAAAATACCAAGATTCCAGTAAAGTTTAGGGAAGAATGAATGAAAAGATTCCGACGGTTTGGTCAACTGGAAAAATAAAAAAAGATAATTAATGGCAAAGGCCACAAAGAGAGAGAGAGAGCAAGACACAATAAGTTACTCGGTCCATTCATAAAATGTTCCTATACAATTTTACTTATTTATATGGACAGGTTTTAAAAAATTAAAATGAGTCATTTTTCACTTTTAAATTATCAAACAATAAACAAACGCCAAGCCCTGCAATTTGAACTTGCGTCGACTCTTATCTATGTTGCTCAATAATGTTAGCAATTGTTCCGCACTGTGTACGACAAGCTAATTAACTCATTAATTTTAGTCAACACGCCCATGAATTCTCGAGGAAGGAGGAAATAATAGAATGTCTAAAGAACAGTGGAAACCTTCTATTTTAATTTTATCCAGAAAAATAAGAAATGCATGGCCGGGCAACACGTTTTAATTTCCAGTTTAAATGCCGTCCATCCTCCAGCAGCAGCAAGTTATCGTTGGACAAAGACGAGAGTTATCTCACGAATTTCTCGGCATGGTTAACTTAACGCCAGCTACGAGCCGTTCCTTAATGAATAAATTGACTAACAACAAGTTACATTCTTTATTACACAATAGTCCCATGAATTCTAACAGGACATGGACGAGACAGTATCGGTCTCCCTTTCACTCTCTCCACTAAAAATTTAAACGATCGGGATACAATAACGACCTGTATTTGTGCAAACTTGTCTAAATTTGAATTTTGTTTGAACAAGTTCGGAAAACGGGTCGGGTTTTGGGTTTGTTAGTATTTTTTTTTTACTTTGTTTTGTTGTGTTTTCCTTCCGCTCCAGTAGAAAAGCCGAATATTAAACAAATGTTGTAAAACAAAAGAGTAGTAGTTTCGTAGCTTCTTCTTCCTCCTCCTCCCGTTTGTTGAATGAGTGTATTTATTGTTTCCAAACTTTCCCAGTTCATATTTCATTTTTGACTTTGAGTCTTAGACTTTGACTCGAAACACAACTTCTTGGTCTCATTGCGAAAACAGATAAAGTTGGGAGAGAGAGATATGCCTTCTTTAACTCTGGTCGGGCTGGTGGTTGACTGACTCTTCAAAATCTGCTTCTTTTCATGAGACATGAAGCAAAGAATGGAGAATTCCCAAACATTATTGTTCCTCGTTCTCTGTATTATTATTGTCCTCAGACGACGACGACGAGGAGGACGAGGACTCGTTGCTCCAGAGTTTTGAGTAGCTAATGAAGCTCTCTCTTTCTTTGAAGGGGAGAATTTTCTTTGACTTTATTCATACTCTCGTGCTGTCACAATAATGTCAATTGTATAAATTTTAAGAAGTTGTAGCTGCGAGTGTTGCCTCGCTTCCTGATGAAACAATACCGGGCAGGGTTTTATTGTTACAATTTGAGCGAATCAGAGCTAAGGAGGAGACAGAGAGACAAGAGCTCGGAAAGTCTTATTAAAATGTACAAGTTCTATTGCTTGGTGCAATAACAAGGTCTCTTGTTTATGGAGAAATTACTTTTGCTTCTGCCCAGCCGAGGTTGGCAACGAAGCCTGTTTTAATAAACCACACCATATACATAATGTGATTTATAAGCAAAAGTTAGTTTGAGGTTTTGTGACATATTGTCTTCCAACTTAGTCAAGTTGCTCCTCGCTCGCTCAGAACTGAATTGCAAAATGTCAAAACTCTAGGGTGGTTGTTGGAATTGTGTGCAAAATATTGTCTCTTGTTTTCTTGTCGTATGCTCAAGTAGTTGTATTACGTAATAAATCCCGTCCTACACAAAAGACTCATGGGGCTTGGGAGGCCTGGCAGTGGAGTGTAAACTGCAAACTAAAGTACAATTATGAAACGTGTAAAGTTTGTTAAGTTTTTGGTGAAACAAGTTCCTCTCTCAAAAGTAGGGACTGTGCATACGCACGCACTTGCTCTTCTGCAGGACACCAGCATTATTAAGTGAGATTCTTGCTCCTGAGATCGAGAACTCGCACTAAACGATATAATGAAGACAGACTCAACATCATGTATATACGTATACAGTAATCATGTCCTATACAGTGTGTACATGGTCACAATAGTTTGGTTAAGTTGGATCAAGTTTATGCTATACTTTGATTTTAAAACCTCTCTTCTCCTTATTTACAGATTGAGGAAGGACGACAAACCATGACAGAATCGGATCTGCAGTAGGGACAATTAATGTCTGGCGTAAATGTAAGTACGATTTATTTGTCTACCAATATTTCCGAGTAATTTGTACTTTGAATATCATCATGGCCTCGCTCACAATTCCCATGATCATGATGACAAAAAGTTCAGCATTATATATAGTCTCTCTCTTCTTTTTGCATTGTTATTATGGCGGATTGGGCCCAGATTGATCAATGGGAAGCTACTACTACTGTATCGACCAGAAGGAAGAGATTTTGATGATTGTGTCTATACGTACGTATGTGTCTGCGTCAGTCTGCTGGGGCGAAGACGAGTAGTGAAACAGTACGAGTCGTATAGTGCAATGTTTTGCTTTGGAGAAACAATCAGAGAATTAATCTTGTTGATAATGCCAGCAATTCGTTCACTTGTCTCGTCCAGATCCGAATCTCCTTCCTCCCCGGCCTTCGTTTCATCATGGCAAAGCCCTGCTGCTGGCTGCTTCCCTTCTTATTCCCATTTCCTTAGTCTCCTTTATCAGGAGAAGAAACAAAGACTTAATTTCCCTGTCGCTCGATAAAGATATTTATTCACGACTTCCACCCTTGGATCACTAACCCTAAATCTTGTTGCTCTCAAATTCTCAGAATGCACTTTTCCGTTGTATTAATGAATTAAATGTATTCGGCTACAATTCCTACATACGACTTCAAAATGCATCCCGCAACCATTCTGGTTCAAGGAAAGCGATAAAAATTGTAAAATAGGGTTACGAAATACATTGGAAAGAGCGTCGAGTTGCTCACACATGACAGAAATATTGCATTCTCCAGTGTTATTCTCTAGTATCAAACTCGTACTTGGGCTGCTCGCTTGTAGCAGAAGTACAAGAGCACTCTTTGGAAAAAAATAACAATGGTTGGCTGAAAACAAAGAAAGGGACACAAACAAACCAACGTTCATACATATATTTATGTATGTATGTCTAAGAGAAAAGAGAGCAAACGAACAACACTCATCTACAAAATGCTGTGTAACGAACCTTGAAAAATTGATTGATCATTGGTTCATTGAAGTTGAGTTTTTGAGCAAGAACAGCTGCAATTAGACGGAACGAGTTCAATGGAGGCGAGTTGTTGGTCAGGGTGGGCAATGCGGTCTATTACATTTCGTTCCTTGTCGATTACAACTTTTCTCTCCTTTTATACTGATATGGTGGGTTTTAGTTTAGTTAAAAAGAGAGAAAAGTTGGGTGCTGGTGCTGGTTGATGAAATTTGTGCAGCAGCAGCAGTCGTGAAGGAACGGACGAAGCCATGTGTGTGGGTTTTGAGGAGAAAGAAACGAAAGTTTTGTGAAAGTAGAAAGCTACCAAGAAGAAGAAGAAGGCATAGAGGAGTGGCAATTAGGCCTGGAAAATAATTCTTTGTTCATTTCACTCAGACTTCAGGGGAAACCTCAAACTTCACAGGGGAAAGTAACAACCTTTTCCGAAGCGATGCTGCCATATTTTGGCTTCTTTTCCTATAATATTGTTCTCTGACAGGTGTTCCGGCTGTATCGCGATTATTCTTATATCATCGTGGACAGAGTTGTTTGAACGTATTATTATTATTATTATTGGTGGTGGTGGTAAAAGTGTTGGTGCGGTTAAAATTTCTGTCTGTAGTTCGTACTCTGTCATCCAAAATACCAATACCCATGCCCTGCCTGCATATGTAGCTGCATGCTCATACATTCTTGATGCTGTTGGCAAACAGAGGGAAAAGACGGGCGGAACTGGGACTGGAGGTGTTATGTTTAATGGGTCATTACATTGCACGACATGGCGATTTGAAATTTGAATTAATTGAGTCATCACGTGTCCATATCTGACCAGTTGGTCACTTATTATGGCACTCTTTCCCTTTCTTCTTCGACCTACGTGCAGTAGGTTACACTTGTATTTTTCCTACTAATTCCACCCTTTAGGCCTAACAAGAAAGTATGTACGTGAAGAAGGAGGGGACTTTCGTGCCAGCAGCATCCACCAGGAGAGCATTATTCGACGGGTCAATGGTACTTTACTCACCTGTTTGACTTTGAGACTTTTCCCTTCCTTCTCTCCTTCATTGGATTTAGTGTTCCGTTAAATAAATCCCGACAATAAAATTGAAGTAAAGCAAACTAAATGGATTTGCTCACTCTTGCTTTCTTTTAGCGGGATTGGTCACTTGCAAGTGGAGAAAGTGGTGTTGGTTGGTGGGGCTACAAATATGTAGTACGTACAAGGTAGTGGAAATACAGCACAGAAAACAACTTGATGACGATGATTGTTCCCAAACTCTACATCCAATTTTCTCATTTCCTTGCACGTTGCACCCAACAAAGCTGTAAGTGGACAAAAAAAGTAAACTTGGCTCAGCAAGAAGCTCATTGTTCTGGCGCAGGAGAAAAAAAGTTTCTCTTTCCACCATATCACACACACACTGCTGCACTGCACGTATGTCTCTCCTTGCACAATTTTAAAGTCTCACTGGTGCATACGTAGTGGTTGCATTGACAAGTTGTTGTTCAGTTTGTATTTCATTTATTGCTTGTTTTAGGTCTACCTCCAAGTTTTATTTTGAGACGCGCATTCAAATGGTGACAGGGGAAAGCAGAGGCCGAGTTATTCTTTTGTTGCAGCACAGTGCATCCAGAAAAAAAGGAAAGAAAGGGAGAAAAGGAGAGGAGAAGAAGGACTACATGGTTTTGGAGGAGTGAAATAAAGTTGTCCTGTCTTAAGCTGTCTTCTCAATTGCTTTGTCTTCCTTTTTCTCCTTCTCCACGACCATACATACGCTTTCCATTCCTCTTAATAGATGCTAGGCTGGTCATATAGCAGAGCAGTGTCTGGTCTGGTCGTGGTTGGTTATGGCACAAAGAACCACAATACCACCACCACCACGGCTGCTAAGGAAATAGGAGAAAGTCGGAGTAGTTCCATCCTCAAAACGACTGACGAATTTTCTCTAATTCTCGTCTCATTTTCTTACTTGTTTGGTGTTACGGAGTGAGTGAGGATCCTTGTGTTGATCTGCTATTCTAGCTCATTTCCCGTTATTGACCCCACTTTTTTCATTTTCGCCCTCTTAGTCTCTCGCGGCCTAGTGTGGCAAAAGCAATTAAATCTGGAATGTGTTGGAAATTTTACTCCTGAGAGAGGCAACTAATACCCGGATTTTAAGAAGGAGGCGGAAGTGAAAGTGGGGAAAGTGGCTGAATTCCGGCAACAGAAATTGGCTCATTTTATCAAATCGACTAAATCATTCAGTCTCGCTGAGAATTTTTTTTGCCCTACTTTGTTCATGTGACTTGGAAAAATTACACTCACTCGGCTCTGGATGTCTTGGAATTAGTGAACCGCAAGTATTATATATGGGAAAATATACATAAAGCCGGGAACCAAAGTGATTGTAATTTTCTGGGAAAATTTTTTATGGTTTTTGTTGCTAGACATCTTATTTCACTTCTTAATTGAAGTATTTATCATACTTTTCAGTTTCCACATTTCTCTCTGCAATAATTAGTTGAGGTTTGGACGGAAAAAAATATTTGATAATTATAACTTGATGGAAAATCTCACTTAATTGGCATCGTTCCTACTGTTAAGCTGTCTAAGACAAAAGGGAAACTTTGTGACTTTGAATTTATTGCAACCCGAGTACTGTAAGATTGCTCCTCTTAAAAATCTCTCCCACTTTGTGTACTAGTAAGTTTCCAGAAATTTTATTAGAGAAATTTCTTCGCCTGAACCAAGAAGGGGAAAGAAAGGATTATTTTTCCCATTCAATGAATTCATTTCACGGCTGTTCTCACTTGAAACTGTGCACATAAATAAATGCGATTGCTACTTGAGAGACTTGTGAAATTAAAGGATTGATGAGCCGAATTACACTTCTGATTAAACCCGCAATATAAATCGAGACAGGAGCGTTGTGGCTGTTGTGATTCCGGAATTCGTTTGGCTGGCGAATGCCCACATTAATTTCAACACTAATATATTTACGTACTCTATTATTATTCAACCCCGGAATAGAAAAGTAAATGGGCAATTTGCATCTCATGGATGAAGTGACGCATTAAATAAAATATTAATTGCACCAATTATTACCAAATTATCAGGTCTGTATGGGGCTGTTGTTGGTTTGTGGGGTGGGTGGGTGGGTTTTGGGTGTGGAAGAGGAGATGGATTGAGGCGAGGATGAGTAAAAGTTTCACTGCTGCATGGAAATCGGCCCGTTGGGTGTTTTATTTTATTTTCCTTTGGAGCAAACCCTAAAAATAATGAACATACTTTGGGTCGTTTTGCAAATGGGTTGAAATGGGAAAAGTTTAGTTCAAATGTGCGGCTCTTCTATTCCACCTGCGACTTTTGCATAAACGGATTCTTGGCAAAAATGGAGCAATTCTGTGGATTTTAGTACAAATGAAAGCGAACAAGTGAGAAGTGGGAGTAGGAGACGCGAGGAATGCGAGAGTGGCAATAGTGTGAATCTCCATTTTGGGAATTCCCTTCTATCCAGTAATTCCATTAATTATTCCCTTAATGAAGACCAAAGTATTAGCAGCTGAGGACGCTTACTTCGTTGTCTGGGCTGCGTCTTCTTCGCTGTTCTGGGGACAGAAGAGACGAGAAAGTTTATGTAATTATGCATCGGACCACCAACCAACACCCACATTCAGCATTCAGCAGAATATCAGTCGTACGAAAGAGGGGTTCGAGAGGGGAAGACGAAACATACATTTTCAACTTGAGGGTATAAACCAACCACCACAATTGTATTAGGACGACTAACATTCAGAGCAGCAGCAGCAGCACTTTATTTGTATTGCATTGCCTTTGCGTTACTCATTATGTGAGGTGAAATTGTTTCCGTCGTTGAGTGTATTTATAACCTTCTGTCTGGCGCAAGACGTAAGATTTCCGTGTGTGTGGGTGAGTTGTGGACTGAAAGTATGTATTTTATTTGTCCATCATTCAATGAGCTGTTCATGCTCCTTTAATGCTAATTCTTATGCGTTCTTCCCTTATTTGTTCAGG